ATTGGTCTATGTGTCTACTGTTATACCAGTACCAAGCTGTTTTGATCACTGTAGCTATATAGTAGGTTTTAAAATCAGGAAGTTTTAGTCCTTCCACTTTGTTCTTCTCTTTCAACATTGCTTTAGCTATTTGGGGCCTTTTGCCATTCCATATAAAGTTGAAGACTGCTTTTTCCATATCTGTAAAGAAGGATGTTGGAATTTTCATCGGGATTACACTGAATCTATAGATTGCTTTGGGTAGTATTAACATCTTAACAATCTTAAATCTTCCAATCTCCAAATATGGAACATCTTCCCATTTATTTAAGTCTTCTTTAATCTCTTCCAGCAGTGTTTTACAAATTTCATTGTATAAGTAATTCATATCCCTGGTTAAATTTATTCTTAAGTATATTATTCTCTTAGATGCTATGATAAATGGAATTGTTTCCTTATTTCCTTTTCAGATTTCTTATTGTTGGGGTATAGAAATCCAACTGATTTTTGTTTGGTACCTATGTACTCTGGAACTCTGCTAAATTCCACTATTAGCTCTAGAAATTTTTCTTGTGGACTCTTTTGGATTTTCTATATATAGGTTCATGTCATCTGCAAATAGAGATGATTTTACTTCTTTTCTAATCTAGATACTTTTTCTTTTTCTTGTCGTATTGCTCTGGCTAGGACTTCTAATACAATACTGAATAGAATTGGTAAGAGTGGGCACCTTTGACTTATTCCTGATTTCAGGGCGAATAATTTGGTTATTTTTTCAGTTTCAGAATTTCTGTTTTTTCCCCCTCAAAATCTGCTAGTGACATTTTTGAGTTTCCAGTTCTGTGGCAAAATTTTCAAGCTTGGCCTTTATCTCCTTCAAATAGTAAGCATAGTAGTTTTATTGTCTGATTCTGGTTAATTACAGTATCTGGATTTTCCATGGGTCTGTTTCAGTTGTCTTGTTTGCACTGGTTCTCAATGGTAGCTTCTTCCCTCATGTACCTGGTTATTTTGACTGTGCTGGACATGGTACTTGATAAATTACTTATCAAACTAATTTGAGGCCTAGCATGATATCTTCCTCAAAGAAAATCTGTCTTTACCTGGGAAACTAGCAATTAAAGATCCTTAATCCAGTTCAGGGCTCAGGGTTTTGTTGGCAGCAGTTTATGCAAAGGCTAGTTTTCTTCTGGTTCATCCTCACTTCTGAAGCCTTGTGATGTCCCAGACATATAAAATCCGTTGTTGTCGAGTAGATTCTGACTCATAGCAACCCTACAGGACAAAACAGAACTGTCCTATATGGTTTCCAGGGCTGTAATCTATATGGAACAGACTGTTGCATCTTTCTCCTTCAAAGTAGCTTGTAGGTTTGAACTGCCGACCTCTGGGTTAGCAGCCGAGTGCTTAACCACTGCACCAGCAGGGCTCCATACTAGACATATAAGGGAGATTAATTCATCACAGCTTGATCTTTGGATGGCCCTGCCTCTGAATTTTGTTCCCTCAGCCTCAAAAGTATGACTAAGCACAGCTTAGCTTTTCAGCCACCTGGGCAAACGCTCTATTACTCTCTATATTCTATAACCTCTATATTCTCATTCTCACCTAGTACTCTATTATTTTTGTAGTTTCTCCAGTTTTTATTATTATCTTCAGTGGGACAGTAGGTCTCAATCAATTAACAAGTCTAACATTACCAGAAGTGGAAGTTCCCTTCTCATTTTTAAAAATTTCTTATTTTTTTTTCCATTTTTAATTTAGTCAGGTATCGTATATCCTGGGTTAAATTGATAACTTACTTCTAAAACTAATTTGAGGCTTAGCATGATACTAACTCTTAGAAGATCTATCTGTACCAGACTTTTTTCTTTCATATTTTCTATTTCTTTGTCCTTTTTTTTCCCCCCTATTTGTGAGATGTTCCTCAACTTTAACTTCACTTTTTGTTTTTTATCAAATTTGTAACTTTTAATAACTTTAAACTTGTTTTTCTTTTATACGGATACAATTTCTTTTCATAGCTGAGGATACTAAATGGAAGGGTTGTTTATGAAATTGTTTTCTCACAGTAAGTCTCTGTTTCCTTTATGTTCCTTCTGTATGTTCATTGGCTGTTTTTCCAAATCTAAGAATTGGGTGTTACAAAACTGGTTGGAAGCTCTGTAACATGGAACAAGACTTGTCAACTTAATTAACTGAGCTTACCGTTGATCAATCCTTTGTGCATCACCCACTTTCTCTGGAAAAATCCCAAATGCTAACATGTGTAGGTATTCTCTGGGGTCCTTTATTTCTCCAAAGGAAGTATCTTGATCTTCTGTAGTCACCTGGCTGTCAGTCTTCTGCTCACAGGGTAGAAGAGCAGGACTTTTACTTCCTCCCTTCTTACCAGTGCTGAATCAGGTGTTTCTAAGTCCCAAATCTCTGTTTCAATTTATTTAAAGAAGAAATTCCAATTTCTAGCTTCCAGCATTCTTGCGGAGGAAGGTAGGGGTGTATAGGTATGTTAACTGCACTGTATATGACCTTTCTGTCCTCTGCCTCACCTCTATCTCCTACCAACCATGAGCTCCTGAATTCCCAATCCTCTCTCTCCTAGCATGTACTCAAGAAATCATTTTATTTATCTCTGTATCTTTGAATGTACTGTACTTTGAATTTCTTTATAGCTTCTCTTGTTATATTATTCCAATTGCCCAATATGTCCAGATATAACCATAAAGTAATGCTTTTGTTAAAAACCATTTAACAAATACATGCAAACTTTAGTTATCTCAAAATTCTAATGATTCTGTCATTGCTAAAGTCATAATGTAGAGAGAACATGTGGTTATCTTTAGGGAAGAGGTAAGGGAAACAGCGTGGAGAGGTAGTGGTTAAATGAAATTCTGGTTTTATTGGTTGTTCTTACAAGGAAAATATATTTGTGAAATTAAACATTAAAAGGAATGAACAGGTGCTCAGACAACCTAGAATCTTTACTACAGTAATGTGTGACCTTGAACATGTTACTTATCTTTCCAAGCCTGTTTCCTGATCTTTAAAATGATAACATTATCATTTTCATCAAAACTTTGTTGTGTGGCATAAAAATAGGTTTGCTGTTGTTATGTGCCGTCGAGTCGGACCCGACTCATAGCAACCCCTCCTTGGGTTTCCGAGGCAGTATCACTATGGAAGTAGATTGCCCCATCTTCCTTCCGAGGAGTGGCTGGTGGGTTTGAACTGCCAGCCTTGCGGTTAGCAGTCAAGTGCCTTAGGCACTATGCTACCAGAGCTCCCTATAAAAATATGTATACCATTAATATTAGTTCCTTCCTTTCTCTACTCTGAAAATGCCTTCAAAGTATGCTATTGTTTTAAACATCTTCAGGGTGAGAAATCTTCATCTTTGATTATGGGTTGGATCATATAATCAGCAAAAATGTGACTGTACGAGCCTAGTGCATAAGTGATCAAAATAATTTTTAGTCTAAAAAGTGTTTGGCAAAAAGAATCCTATGAGTCAGAGCAACATCTTGATCATATCACTATTAGTTTAGTTTTTTTTTTATTTTTTGGAGAAATTCTCACAGAAGATCTTAACATTTTTCAAAATTTTATAGGTTAAAATGATTACTTGAAGAGTCACAATAGATAGCTTCAGATAGAATGGGAGACAAATGTAGAACAAAAATCAAATTCTTAAAATGAAAAAAAAAAAAAAAGGCCAGACTAATTGGACCAGTAGGAATTAGAAGACTCCCTGAAACTATCACTTTAAGACACTCTAAACCTTGAACTGAACCTATCCTGAGATCACCTTTTAGTGAAATAACAGAGTGGCACACACAATGAAGACTGTTACCCACAAGATTTCTGTTTTACTTAAAAACTGTTTGAGACCAAAAGGTCAACATTTACTCCAAAAGAAAAATGCGAAGATAAGGGGGTAGGGACAATAGAATACTGGAAATGAGACAACCAGATAACAACTAAAGAGGAAACTGATACATTGTGAAAAATGTAACCAATGTCACTAAACAATATGAATGGAAATTGTCAAATGGGAACCTAACTTGCTATATAAACTTTCACTAAAAACACAATAAAACATTATTGTAAAAAATGGTTGTTTGACTTGATTAATCCTGCCCACATTGCATGCATCTGACATGTGTATAACCTGATGGTACTGAAGTTTTCAATTGAAGATTTTGATGACTTTTTTTGGATCATATAAGAAACATATTCTACTAAATATCACAATTTTTTTCAAAAAATATAATTTTGTCCAATTTCCTAGAAAGACTGTAACTAACTGTATGGGCCTAAAACAATCACTTCTTCTGGACTCCTGGCTCCTACAAACCATTAGAAAATAATATACTTTACACTGTTTTATGGGAGCTCTGGTAGCGTAATGCCTAAAGCACTTGACTGCTAACCAGAAGGCTGGGGATTCAAACCCATTAGCTACTCCTCAGAAGGAAGATGGGAAAATCTACTTCCGTAGTAATACTGCCTCGGAAACCCAAGGAGGGGTCGCTATGAGTCAGGTCTGACGCGATGGCACATAACAACAACAACACTGTTTTATAATGTACTCAGGATAATGTCTTTAATTTCTATCCTAATTTTCTCCTGCCACAATTTAAGCTCATTCCCTCTTGTCCTATAGTATGTTGGTAAGAGAACAAGTACAACTATAATTACAAAGTCTTTGGCATCGGAAACAGTTATTTCCCTTCCTTTCTCCAAGTTAAATAACTCCAATTTGTTTGCTTTTTTTAGTCTGTTCCATCTTTTTGAAAGCTCAAATTCTATATGCAATATTAGAAAAAGAACTATATTTTAAAAGAATAATTAAGAAAAAATATATAGTTTGCTTTTTTGGTTTATAGAGTTAAATAAAATAACAATGTGATAGGTATAATACAATTATGAACAATACATGAAGAGCTGGGCAAACTTTCATTCATTCATTAATTCTATACCATGGTTCTAATTCTAGCATTCTATAGCAAAATAATCCTTACCAGGGGACTTTCCTTGCTGTGAGTTGCTTCTTCTTTCTCTGTATCTGGCTGGAGTGGATAAACTTGTGTCTTTACTAGACTTGCTAGTAGACCCCATTTCTGAAATAAGGAATCCCATCTGTTCTGAAGGCAAGATATTCTCAGGTGGATTGGTCTGGCATTTTATACTGGCATCCACCTAAAATATTAAGTCCACTCATTATTCTGAGATTTCCCCAAAGTCTACTGAAAGATTTCATCAGAGAAGTTGTACTATAGAAACATGGTCCAATAAACATGCTTGGAAGGCTTGTCATCCTTATGAATAAATCAAAAGTAATCAATTTACCATTGATTCTGTTGAGTTACCTGAATATCTGGTAGTAAGATATATAATTCTCCATACACATACCCATGAAATGTATAGGATCTACCACATTTACTTATCATCAGAGAAAGATTTACCAGGACACTAGTGGGTTTGTTGTTTGTTTTTTTTGTAAAATTTACAAAAGTAAGATATTTTGACCACAATTGGTTAAAAGCACTATGTCTTTCCACTCTGATATCCCTTCCATTAGATCTGGGAGCCCTGGTGGCATAGTACCTAAGGCATTTTTGACTGCTAACCAGAAGGCTGGTGGCTCAAACCTACCAGCCACTCCTCAGAAGGCAGGCTGGGAAATCTACTTCCATAGTGATACCACCTCGGAAACCCAAGAAGGAGTCGCTATGAGTTGGCTCTGACTCAATGGCAGTGAGTTTTTTTTGTTTGTTTGTTAGTTTATACATAAAATTCTGTTGGATACTATAAATTTTGTACTCTGCCTTAAAGAAGGCCTCAAAACTGTATATGTTTGGCCCCCTGTTAAATCTGGATCTGCCCCATTTAAGATGTATGAGTTTCTTTCTTGAAGCTTTTAAGTCTTCCTTGGAATGTCAAATCCCTATGTCAAGGCAGCCAACTTCTAGAATATTCTATTTCTTTATGAATAATAAAATGAAACTAAAAGTTAAAAAACAGCTTTCAAGAGTTGTGGAACTAAAAGATATTTATTGAAGAAAAACAACCACGTGTAAAAATGCAATTTTAGAGTAAGAAACCTAATACTTCTGGGTGTGACTATGAAGGAACAAGCACTAACCTGAGGAGGTTCTCTCCACAGCATGGTGGCATATCTTCAGTGGACTGAATTTACAACGTTATATTAACATACAATATGCCCAGTCTTAATGTTAAGGCTCAAAAGGCACAATGGAAAAACAGAAACCCTGAGACATAGGAATCTAAAATTAGAGCTAAAAAGCCTGCCAAAAGTTATGTTGGAAAATCTCAAAAAAGAGAAGAGATTTTGAGTACTGTTAAAAAAAACTCAGCTAAGGGCAAGAAAAATATTAAAAGTAGAAATAACATTTATTAGTTAAATTCACACACAAAAAAAATGTTTTTAATTTGATGCACTCTTTGATGAGTCATACTTACTAAATATTCAGAATCAAAATTGATTAATTTTCTGGTCACAAACCAACAGAAATAAAGGCATTAGCTTCTACCTTCCCCTCAAACTACAGTCAGAGGTCTGTTTTAGGAATGCAGATATGGTTAAGGAAATTTCAACCACTGCATGCTCACAAATGATGCTGTAATTAAGTATGAAAAGCCCTCCAACCATCTCCTTACCTGCATGCCACAAATGGCTGGAAAAGTCCGGATTTATATGTCAAATAAACCACCCCTTCTGGGTAGTAGAATTATATCAGCCAGGCATACCTAGTCTATCCAAATTAAGATTGCTAACAGAACTCAAAAATTGCTTTTAACATGAAAATGTCTTATACTGGGAGCTCTGGTGGTGTAGTGCCTAAGGCATCTGACTGCAAACCAGAAGGCTGGCAGTTCAAACCCACCAGCCACTCCTTGGGAGGAAGACTGGGAAATCTACTTCCATAGAGATACCACCTTGGAAACTCAATTATGAGTTGGAATTGACTCGACAGCAGTAAGTTTAGTTTTTAGTTTTATTAGGTACTTTTAGCTTTATTAGAATTTTTTTCTTTGTCCCCTTACCTGGTGTGTGCCAAATGGTAGACCTTCTTGCACAAATACTACTGAAGATGGAGATGGATTATGACTGAGCTGATCCTTCAGTTTGACATGAGCTTGTTGGACGGCTGCAGATTCCTGCATTGTTGTATTTTCAACAGGCTGAGCTGTGTGGATGGTATATATGTACTCAGGTGACTGTGGCAGAGAGCAGGTAATTGCTTGTTCTGTTCCAACCACAAAAGACGTAATATCTGAGCCTACAGGAGTAAGTGGCTCCAGCTGGCTAGCCTGACTTGTGGAAGATGGATTGCTGTTGTTTGAATTAGCTAGCATATGTTGGCCTCTGTTAGACTGAGATGTTGAGCACTGACTTTCAACAGGCTCCACCTTTACCATCTCTAATTTAGGGGAGGAATGCAACTCATCTACTATCTGAAAGACAGCCTCTAGGTTTACTTCTGTCTTTTTACTTTCATCAGTAGCACTGCAAGACCAATTAGAAGGCAGAAATTCAACTGGATAAGAGGACTGCATTGAAGGATTCTGGAAAAAGAAAACAGGACAGTTTGGATACAAAATCAAATATGAAATTAAGCAGGAAAGTAACAACATTTAGGCTGATGAATGCTAAACATAAATAGATTCTGCTAATCTATTTTTTCATTGTTAACATTTACTTAGCATCTATTATATGCCACCATCATAGTAAGTTTAATACTGGAATGGACCAATAATCCTCAGAGCTAAAGTATACAAAATCACAAAGCTGCAGCACCCAAATACCTATTTGCTAAGAATGACTATACACCAAATTCTTCCAAAAAGGATGACAGACGAAAAAACATTACTTGTCTCTATCATATATTGTTTTAGGAATGAAGGCATTAGTAAGGAAATTTCAAATACAGGATGCTCACAAGTCTACTAATGCTTTTATAGATTCGGGGGGAAGTAGTACTGATATTCTGTTCCAAATGATCTGGGAAAAAATGAATATTAAGTATTGAATGTCTTTTGGTCCCTAAGACTGTTTATTTTTAATAATAAAATGAGAGGTTAAAAATAGTTATCACTTTCAAATTTTTATCTTTGTAAAATACATTCTATAATATATACATAGTGCTTTGCACAGAGTAGGCATTCAATAAATGCTTATTGATTATCTCAGATTATAAACATACAGTATAGAAGAGTTTGGATTAAATAAAACATGTCAATATTGCCAAATGTACTACAAAGATTGTGTCAGTGATATCCAGAATGTCAGTGATATTCAGAAGGTCACTGATGACAAATAATGTAAATTAAAATGGTATGGTATAAGCATCAAGCAAGGAGCTCTGGTAGCATAGTGTCTAAAGCATCTGACTGCTAACCAGAAGGTTGGTGGTTCAAACCTACCAGCCACTCTGTGGAAGTAAGACTGGGCAATCTACTTCTGTAAAGATTTACCACCTCAGAAATCCAATGGGGGTTACTATGAGTCGTAATCGACTCCATAGCAGTGGTTTTTTTTTTTTTTTTTTAAACCATCAAGCTACCACAGTCAATAGATAACCATTTATTGAGTTTTTACTATGTGCCAAGTACATGCAAAGTGCTATACACATTATTTCTTTAACCCTCACAAAAGCGCCATGAAATGTGAGGCTGTCCATTTCTCAAAGTTGAAACTGAAGTTAAGAGAAGCTTCATAATTTACCCAAAGTCATAATGAAAGTAGCTGGCAATCAGATTGCAAATTCAAGTTTGCCTGATTGCTCTTCACCATTATAATATAATAACTACTCATGAACACTCTCCCCAATACCTAAGTCCAACAAAATTAAGTACATTTATTTCCAGGATGACACCTGAAATAACGTCCTTTTTCCCTATTTTTTAGTTTCATGTCTGTTTATTTGTATTTTTCTATCATGAACATGTACTGCCTTTGTGGCAGGAAAAGGTTTTTAAAAATGTAAAGAAATGATTTACTTAAAACATAATCAGGACATAAACACTATCAGAGAATTTCCAGTATGATTCACATTGTATGATTCAAGTATGGATCCACAAGAGCATCGTATTTGTGGGATGGCTTCACAGTGAAGATAAACAGACGGCGCTATTATGCTTGATATCTGCTATTAAAAATGTTTAACTAAATCTATTGATCTGAGTCTATTTTCTTCAAACAATAGCTTGATTATAATTTGATTTCTTTGATGGTTATGTGTCAACTTGGCTCAGCTATGATTTGCTAGACACTATACAATAACCTTCCGTTTTGTTATGTGATGTAAGCAACCAATCAGCTGAAATGGGCATTTCCTTGGAGAGTGTGTCCTGACTCCAGTCTATGAATGGATTTACTGGCAACTCCCTCTCCCTCTTTCTACTCTATACTCTTCTCATTGCCTGACTTCTATTTCTTGGGACTGCAGAAGTCTCCAGCCAGCTGCTTGACCTACAGATTTTAGATTCGCTAGCCCATGCAACCACGGGAGCCAGCAGAGGTCTTCTGCCTGCCTCTTGACCCACAGATTTGGTACTTGCTAGCCACCACAGTTGAGTGAGCCATTTCTTCACAATTGTGTGCACCATCTCCCTGAAGTAATCTCTCTATATACAGGTAGTCCCCAACTTACGATGGAAGTCCATCCTGACAACTCTAGCCTAAGTCATCTCTGGCATAAGTCAAATACTTCATTTTTTTTTTAGTTTTCATTATTATTGCCTTTTATTATCAGTATCTTAATAAATCTAATCTTTATTTTTCTTTGGAGGTTGGTATGAGAATGAGAACACTAGCAAATTATGTGCTGCAATATTGTATAGTACATATTACTAACAATAAGATGTACAAAAAAAAAAATGGACAGTCGTAAGTGCAGTTCATCATAACTCTAATACATTGTTAAGTTGGGGACTACTTGTATACTTTATATATACATTTCACTGGTTTTGCTCCCCTAGAGAACTCAGACTAAGACAACTTCCCATGTAGATTTTCTCCAAAGAAAGGAATGTTCTTTTGAGTATCCTAATGCCACTAGTAAAATAATTTTCTTAAGAAATGAAGCTATCCAAAAAGATGGAAACAACCTACATGCCCATCAGCAGAAGAGTGGATGACCAAACTATGGTACATACACATATTGGAATGCTATGCAGCACTAAAAAATAATGTAGAGTCTGCAAAACACTGCATAATACAGATGAACTTGGAGCATATTATGCTGAGTGAAATAAGTCAATCACAGAAGGACAAATATAGTATTAGTTCATTGTTATGGAGGGTCAAGGAAAGGTTTATATATGGAGGGAAACTCTTTGTTGGTTGCCAGGGGTGGGAGGGGAGGGAAGGGAACACTGCAAAAAAAAAAAAAAAATGCATTGACCCATGTCACTTTAGTTTTGTGTATTTCACTGTACATAAATTATATTTCAATAAAATGCACTTAAAAAAAAAAGGAAAAAAAAAAAAAAGAAACGAAGCTATCTCAGTTACAGGATATCCAAAACAAACACATAATTTCAACTTTAAACAAGCAAAGCATGAAAATACAAAGCAAAGCATGGAATTTAATCCTAACCTAGAAATAGCAGTTAAAAAACATTTAAATCAAAGCAATAGTTTCCTAATAAAGAATGAGAAGATATTTAGGGTTGTTGCTGTTATGTGCCATCGAGTCGGACTCCACTCATAGCGACCCCTCCTTGGGTCTCTGTAGTGATACTACAGAAGCATATTGCCCAACCTTCCTTCCGAGGAGTGGCTGGGTATGAACCGCCAGCCTTCTGGGTAGCAGTCAAATGCCTTAGGCACTACGCCACCAGAGCTCCCAATATTTAGGGTAGAGTTTACAAAATGAAAGGAGCTCTGGTGGTATAGTAGTTAAGGCAATTGGATGCTAACCAGAAGGTTGGTGGTTTGGTTCCATCAACTACTCCACAGAAGAAAAAGGAGGCAGTCTGCTTCTGTAAAGATTTATAGCCTTAGAAACTGAACGGGGGTCACTATGAGTCAGAATTGACTTGGCAGTGAATTTGGTTTGAGTTTTCACAAAACGAGGGCTAAGGTTGAAGGGGACCACTATTTACATTTCTTATTTTTTATATCATTTTTCCTTTCTTTAAAAAACCTAAACATCTAATTATCTGTACCAACTTGGAAAATTCTCTCATTTAGTGACTTATATACTTTTAAAGTTTATCTAGCATTCATTTTACCATGGAAAAGTCTGTAACAGCACCATTCAAAATAACTTTTGGCAGTGATGAAAAAGCTCTTTATCTGTGCTGTGTAACTTGGTAGCTACTAGTCATATGAGACTACTGAGCACTTAAAATGTAGCTAGTATGACTGAGGAATTAATTTTTAGTTTTATTTACTTTTTTTTTTTTTGATAATGTGATAGTTGTATTTACTTTTAACTAAGTTAAATTTAAATCCACATGTGGTTAATAGCTACTGAACTGGACAGTGCAGACCTGGACAAACCAACAATCATCTGTGTCAACTCTATTTTTTAGAAATGAGAAAACTGAGCCTATAATCTATAGCTTACCTCTAACCAGTCATTTACATATAATTTCCACTTTGAATTTCTGCAAGGTCAGTAACACTACATGTGAAGGACAGAATATGCCTACTGTTCCAAGAGTCTTACCTGGAAGTAGTTGCAGTGTGCATAGGTAGAGGCAGTGGGAGTAACACAACTACTTAGAGCATCCATGTGGGTAGAAGGAGAGCAGCACTGGAGCACAGCTGGAACAAATTCAAACACAGAAATGTCATCAACCAAAAGAAACCTTTACAGTGTTCAAGGCCCTCCTCTCTTTTAAACTGCAAAGAAAAATTCCAAAAGCTTGGCTTTCTGGGTCCAACAAAATTATATTTATTATATATACATACATATATATATATATATTATATTCATATTCAAACTACTTGGAAAAGGTTAAAGTTTAATTTTCCTTGTATCCTTGGATAAGGGGATATTCAATATATATTATATTCATATTTGAAACCAACATGGTTACAAAGTAATTTTTTAAAGATCTTATCTACTGTTATAAGTGATTTCTTTAACACCTATACATTTTGCTACCTTGCTAACTTTTATCCCTTCCCAACATTTATTCTTTATTGGAAGTGTTTATTCTATCAGAAACTACTTTAAATTCCAAAATAAATCTTTCAATCATGTTAACAATAAACCACTTGGAGGGGGTGTGTTTTTAAGGATATGAACCAAAAAAACAAACACCCTGCTGCGAGTCAGATCTAACTCATAGCGACCCCTCCTTGGGTTTCCAAGGCAGTATCAGTACAGAAGTAGATTGCCCAATCTTCCTTCTGAGGAGTGGCTGGGTTTGAACCGCCAGCCTTCTGGTTAGCAGTCGAATGCCTTAGGCACTACACCACCAGTGCTCCTTTTTAAGGATAAAGTAAGTATAAAATACTCACCAAATGTCCCACACATTAATTTAGAAAACACCACATTGTGGAAATATATGCAAAGAATGTTTTAACCATTTAGACAGTGGTTAAAGAATGTGGATTCTAGAACCAGACTATCTGGCTTTGGAACGCAGAACCAACATTTGATAGCTGTGCAAACTTGAGCAAAGTTAATCTTTGTGTCTCAGATTCCATATCCCATTAAAATTGTGGTAACAGTAGTAACTACCTAATATAGTTGTTGTGAGGAATAAGTGAGTTAATAAGCAAAAGCATTCAGCATACAGTAAGCAATCAATAAATGTTAGCTACTAGTATTATAACAGGGAGCTCTGGCAGCATAGTGGCTAAGATGCTTGCCTGCTAACCAGATGGCTGGCGGTTCAAACCCACCAGCCACTCCTCGGAAGGAAGGTTGGGCAATC